TTTTTTATATTGGTGGTGGCAGTGGTGCATGCTGTTATGCTAGATTGCAGACAATCTTTTCATTTATCTTTCATATCACAGTGGAGGAGAGGATGGTTAGTTGTTACTAAAAAGTGAAACCTTTCTAATGAGCTTGTTTTGCTTTTTTATTGTCAGGTATAAAACACAGAAGTACAGAACACAACTCCAGTCTGATGGTCTCTGAGTCAGAGTTTGACAGTGATCAGGACACTATCTTCAGCAGAGAAAAAATTGAAAGAGAGAATCCTAAAACCCTCATGAATGGATCCATCAGAAATGGAGTTTCCTTCAACTACAGCTCCAAAGACAGATAACTGAATGAGGGTAAAAGCACAGAACATGCTGTTCCAACACATCTGAAACATGTTGGCCACCTCTGTTTTTTCCAGAACCGAAAGCTTCCTTAAAATATCAGCTAATTGCAGATGAAAGGGTAAATTTCTAGCACAGTTAGGGAAAGGAAGGAGGAAGGATTTAGATGGTCAGCTAACTCCTCTTGTCACTGTTACAGGAACAAGGAAAAGCACATCTTACTACTTGCATGTTCCATGCTGAATGTTGGTCTGAACTTCAGAAGGCCTTTTTTCCTGTATCACTGGTACTAACCATGGTAATTGAGATGCATACAGATTTGTCTCCTGTGTTCCTGTCTCTCTCAGAGAAGCAGTGTGATTATGATGCTGACCTAAAACAGCGCAAGATAAATTCCCTTACAACTATAGAGAGCAATTTATGACAACAGGCTCCATCTTCATTTTCAGTTTAGGTTGGGATCACAAAGAGAAAGCATTTTTAGTGCATTGTATTTATCTCTGTGCTTTGTGACTTCCTTTTCTAGAGTAGGGCTCATCAGGTGGAAATGTCTTTGTTTTCAAAGGAAGCTTACAATTAGCAGTTGCACTTAATCAGCTGTAAAGTAATGTGATACATCTGCATCCTGTAAGATGCAATGTTCCCTGTATTTACATAGAAAGTATGGTGCCTGCAGGGAAGTCCAGCCTTAGGTTGGTTCTGAAATGATGGAAGATGCTTTGGCTCTCTGGAGTCTGCTATGTCCAGCCAGGAAATGGTAGCAGAAAGGCAGGAAGGACTCACTATGATGCACCTTCAGAAGCATTTTGAGCATCCCAAACAACCTTTTGCTTAGAGAGCACTTTCAAGGAGCTGTGGACCTTTTAAGACTGAACCCTCAGCTGAGATGAGTTTTCATCTGTCAGCCTCAGTGCTCAGTTAAAGAATGTGTCGGGCATTTGTGTAGTGAAATGCTTGTGGCAAAATACCCGATGTGGAGCAGGAGGTTCACCACCTACCTTCATTGTTACAGGAACTGGAACTGAGTAAGGTTTTAGCTTGAACATTAGATTATTTTATTCTTTCTTCTGTGGCTATTCAGTGACTAGATGTATTGGCCTGAAGAGATCCCTTTAGGTGTTTGGGGAGGGTAGGTGTGTTCGAGTTCTGATGTTCCTTTTTGGCAATCTGGATAATTTCCTTAAGCTTGCTTGTTAGGCTTTAAAGTCATGACCCCAATACCGTTCTTGAAATCCCAAACTGAAGACCTGGCTTTTATATGTAATCCTCACTTGTGGAGGCATCTGTGTCAGTGGTACTGTCTGGCCACAATGTCAGCCTTTCCTGGGGGTCCTTTACTGACAGGCTGGAGCCTTGGGCTGAGCTGGAGGAATGGTGTGTTCTGATGGAGAAAAGATTCCTCTGGGAGCATTTTGGACAGGGTTTTCTTTTTAACTTTTTTTTTTTTTAAACCTGGTGGTGGAGAATCCATTGACAGAGAAGGGTAGAGCAGTATAGAGATTGGGGGGAGCAGATGAGAAGGGTCAGGGAAGGGGACATAGCCCACTTCCATCATGAGGAATAATTTGGTGAAGAATTTTGGGGCTTTCTCCATCCTTTCATAGAAGTCCAACACAACAGAGTAGTTGGGTTGAACACTGTGGCTTCTGTTAATGGAGTCAGGCAGAGGTCAGAAGAACTGTCTGGGGTGGAAGGAATCAGTAGTCAAAAGTTGCAGCAACATGGCATGCTCATAACTGGTTTCATACCTTTGATTCTCAAATGCAGCCAGCAACAGTCCCTAAGGCTGCACTAATACTGCACTGAGGAGCATTTATCCTGTGCTGAACCTTGCCTTTCTCTGGGGAGCTGAGTACGGCTGCAGGAGTCATAGTGATGGGAGAGGCTGTGAAGAGCTAAAAAGGGCTAATGCGAATGTTTTCCATGTTTTTCCCATACCAACCAGCAAGATGCAGTATAAATGGTATGATTTGCTTTCTTCAGAAGCCAAGTTTTAACACTACGTGTATGGGGGTTTTAGGCTATTTATTGAAACAAATCTACTCCCCCTTCTTAAGAGAGTGTGTGTGTGTGTGTCTGTATTTTTAAATAACTTGGTTGATAAAAGCAAGGTCAGCTTTTGATGTCTTTCAATTTCTGCTCCAGATGTGTTAACATAGTAACGCAACGTTCACTTTAAAGCATTCCTGAAGAAAGTTAAGGCCCACTCAGAATACTGATTTTTTTTTTTTTTTTTTTTTTTTTTTTTTAAAGTCAAAAGGTTGGGCTTAATCTATTCTGCACAAATTCCCAAAATGTCCTTGGAACAGTGCATTTAAAAAAAAAAAAAAAGGATGTTGCATAAGCAACTGCAACTTTGTATTGGCCACGCTGCCATTAATGCTTCTGCTAAATACTATATCCAGTGTGCCTTTATCTATAAACTTATCTTTTAGGACATGTCAGTGCAGTCGGCAGCATCCTTCAGTTTTGTGAAGTCAGTCACTTGAGTGTTTTAGGTTTATTTTACATTTTTAAAGCTGGTACTGTAGCCTAGGAGGTGGTTCTTCCAAGGAATTAAAATTCAGACATCTTTTTTTAAAAAAACCTAAAGACTGATTCTCTAGTAAATCAAATACAGGAATCATAAACCTGCTTTCCTCAATGCTGCATAATTCCCAGAGCTATTCCCCCTCCCACACAGATGCTGTGGGCTCAGATATTTGGATCGGTGGTTAAGTTCGTGTGCCATGAGAACGTATGCATGGTTTGGCTAAGTACTTCTCACTCTAACAAATAAGGAACATTAGACCAATTTCTTCATGCGTAAGGCCCTAGCAAGTGTAAGTTGCTTACTAAATTCTGTTCTCTAGATGATGCTTTGACATCTTTGTTGCTAACAGTATTTTAGTTATGTTCTGAAAGTTGAATATAGTTTACATTTTTGAGCTGCTTTTAATTCTACTGGTTTGATTCTTCCACCTCCTTGGAAGGAGAATTTATTCCTCTTACATAAGATCAGTCTTGCTCTTACTATGAAACTTGCACAGAAGTTGAAAATAATAGTTTCTGAATCTGTGAATTTGTGATATCACGTTTGTGTCATTTGGCCAAGCATGATTTTGTCAGGAATTTAGGAGGGACCATAGCAAGCCTTGTACCTTGATTCAGTAACATTTTTATCTCTAGAACTACTGCTTTCTTGCAGAATGTCAGGTCATACCTGGAATAAAAGGGTCAGGAAACTAGCTGTTACAGTGCCAACGCAATGGTAGAATTCTGATGTGCAAGGAACTTAACAGTGTGTGAACTTAACAGAGAGTGAGTGAGCACATGCATGTGTTCTCTATGCTGAATTTAAACTTTCCTTAGACAGTTCTGATGTTCTAACATAATTGAGTTCTTAGGAAAATTTGCTAGTCCTGTTTTAAGCCTCAAGTGAAACTAGTTTTGCCCCTCAGTATACTGGTAATGGGCTGTAGTTGGCTGGAGCTTTGGGATGGTGGGGATAAAATGACAGAGCTACTGTAGTCTTCTGAGCCATTTACGTGAGGTTTGAGAGAGGTAAACGTTCCTCTGGAAGAAGGGAAATGGGATAGAGGTGAATCAGAGTTTCTTAACATCAGCTATCATTGATCCCTAACTAGAATACTAATCCCATACTTCTGCAGCAAAGGAGAATCCATTCCACATACCTTTTGGGTCCTGAACTCCCCAAGGCAAGGGAGAAAAAGGAGGGAGAAAAGGCAAACCATTTTTACTTCTGCACAGGCTACAAATCAAGTGCAGGTGAGCCACACGTCAGTAGTTTGTCTCTGTATGGAAGCGCTTCTCCCTGTGGGTGGATGGGTGAGCTATTACAGAATTTGTATTAGGAATCTGTTTCTAGAAAATGTTATTTATTGCAAATGATAATGTATTGTAACTGGAATCATTTCTGAGCTGAAATTACTACATTTATGTAATTACTAATAAAGTTTTGTCTTTCCTTCTAGGAACTTGTCAGGTACTCTTTTAGTCATGGTACTCTGTATTGGACTCCACACTCAGGTCAGGCTAATAAGAGATACGTTGTATATCATAGCTTATGTCTGTATGCAAACATAAAAGCAGTGCAGTACCTGATCCCCTCCCTTCCTACTGACAAAAGCAAAACAGCATCTTTGTTCAGACAGATAACATACTTCGATACATTAGAGAACAGAAAAAAAAATTACTGCAGTTCACAGTAAGAGTTTTCATGTGGTGTTTGTCCTTACTTGGTTACATTGGCTGTGTGTAAATATTCACCAGCTGTCATGCCAAGTGTGGTGATTTCACAAGTTTTGTGGCTGATTCTATAGCAAATATAATACTTGGGTGTTTTTAAGTACAATGGCTGCTTTGCAGTAATCGGAGATAGTAGTGTGCAATATAACCCAAAATACTACTGTTAGCTAGGGGTAGATTATGCTGCCTGTTTCTGAACTAGAAAAGAAAAATCTGTGCATCAGTGTGTGTGAAGTTTGTGTGAAATCATGATAATAAAAGGTATGATGAGATAAAAGTGTCTCTCTGGAAGGAAAAAACATACGCCATAAAAGCAACTTTAAGTGTATTTGGATACATGGTACCTCTTACATTCATTCTTGACTCCCACAAGGGAATACTGCCTGCTGAATGAGCAGATGAGATACCATGTATCCTTTATTGAAGAATGGAATCTGCCCATTCCTTACTGTACGTTAGTAACAGTTGCAGCCTTGCCCCTACCCTCTGAGTAGGCTGGCGCAAGCCTCTAGACTTGCTCAACAGAAGATAAATTGGTAGTGATTCCTCAACAACTTAAGCCAGTTGTGCTAAGTAGCTTCACCATTCACTGATAAAGTGAATAAACCACCAACTTCTCATGTCTTGGAAGGTCCAGGGCAGAGAGTTTTGACATTGGAAACACTTTATAAACAAGTGCTAAAACTTCATTTAGAGCCTCTGAATGCCAAACTCAAACCTCCTCTAAGATAACTCAACCCTTCCATAAGCAGTAGGGCTAGGACAAATGGCATGATAATTATGCTTAGACGGTCGCTTCAATGCCAAGTCAAAGCAGGGCTTATTTTACTTACAGGATTGCCCAACTCCCAACATTTGCCTGATGGATTTAGAACAGTAAAAACTATTTTACTCTGTGCAAGCCATTTAGGCTGCTGTTTATGTTCTGTGACTTAATCATAAAAGCACAATTAATCATAAAAGCACAATTAATCATAAAAGCATAAAGCATGTCTAAAACCACCAGTGTCTGGGAAATGGACAGGCTGCAGAACACTGGCCTGTGTACACGTTTCCTTGATCTTGGTGACAAGAGATAATGAAGTGCAATCTGCCATCTACTGTAAAATTAAGTACTAGATACTGGTCAGGCTTGATGTACTTCTCAGTTTAAGACTGATTGTCTATCTTCACTGGTATTAGACCAGTGTTACCAACATCAGGACACACACACACACACACACTTATTCTGAGCACCCAAGGTAACTTTGCCAGCCTAGCATACCAATGGACAAGCATTACCTAAAGTGACTTACTGAAAAAAAAATTGTGCACTGTGGTTGGAGATAATTTCTGCCTATTTAAGCTAAAAATGTTAGTATCTAGTAGAACAGGTAAACATAACTTCTTAAGAGTTTATTACACAGAGAGGACAGGCAGTGAGGGTCATACAACAGCTGTTTAAAGAGTAACATAAGAAAATAAAATGGAAATTGGCCATGATTAAGTCAGGTTGGAAACTAGAAGACAGTTTCTGAGGCTTCAAAACTGTATTAACTAAATGGTAATTAAGAAGCTTCCAAAAATCTATTTTAAATCTTAAGTAAAGAATGATGCAAGTAATCCTATCCTCAAAGCAGGGAAAGGCACTCTGGTCCACAAAGCCTGTATCTTGTGGTAAAATGTTTGACTCAGCATAAAAGACTTGTATACAAAATGACTGATGGCATATTAGCATGTCAAAGTAGTCTCACCTATTTAATTTAGATTCAAGGGACTGTAATTGGGGTAACCACTATCTTACACTTCATGAACATGCAGATGCAAAGAAGGGTCTTCTTTTTTTTTTCCAGTGCTAAAGCTGGCAGAACAAAAAATTCTGTACAAGTATGAGACTGAACTTAACGTGACTGCTGTCAGTTTGTCAATTAAATGTTGAATAAGGTAATAACCACAAAATCTAGTGCTTTCATAGAAGTTATTTATTAACTGAAAACATTTTTCCATCACAGTTTTAATGTCCAGAAATTGCTAAACTATCACAAGTGTAATCAACATAAGAGGTGTGAGAATTCAAGTATATCTTCTGCTGAAGAATCACAGCCTTTGCTATGAAGACAACTTTAAGATTATTCTGTGCTTAACTGATGTAGACCTTACTGATACAAGGATACTATGCTGGAATCCAACCACAATCCAATCCAGACAAAGGTATTTTTGAAGTTTATTCCACACCTTATCTTTAGTTATGGTTTGTGCTTGTTATCAGGCATGGTAAAAGGTATTATTTGGTAGAAGAAAGTAAACATTTACTCATTAACAGTGCTATTCTCAGAAAAGACATGAAGATTTTAAATGTGCTGATGGATCAGATCAAGTAACTTTGTAATGAATAGAGCAGTAGGTTAAAGAATTTATCCTCCAACTGCACTGTCCCAAGAAGTACACACACATTCAGGACTGCACTGTCATACAGCAGTAAAGGAGATGGTAACTTTAATTTGGCCTTATACTGCAGTTCCCGGGCAGACATATTTTAAGCCTGTGCAATTTCAGTGGCAGATACTGTGTATCATACTGTGTATGATACCTCTAAGCGTTCCTATTCCTGTGTTGTGGTACCCAGGCACCAAGTTATGACCTTCTTCTACCTAGTTATTCTTTCCAGTAAGAAATAAAGATGTATTAGCAGCAAAGGCTGGCAAACAGCTTGCTCCTCCACAACGCTGTATTTGCCAAATTCAGGCAGCCTGTGCGTTCAATAGCATAAGCTTAGTAGTTGGCTATAAGAAAGTTTCTTGCAACTAATGTAGACATAGGTCATCCTTTGTTCATTCTTGACAACAAGCACATATGCTGCAAGTAATAACAATATTAAGTAAGTCCTCATTATCTTATATGTGTATTTTTGGTGCATTGGAAGTTACCGGAAAGGCAGTAAGCATCCTTTAACCACCCTTCAGTTGGCATAATGCACACACACACACTACTGACAGATAACATACTCCACACCCACCTGGTCTCAAGTGTTACATAAATACAACCATAAAAAAATATTTAGAAATAGTAAGTAGCAATCAATGCTACCTAATGTGCGCTTTAAAAAAATCTCCATGAAACTCTGTTCTGGCTTGCTTCCGGGCACAGGGGAAGCCTCTTTGCCTGATTGGATAAAGTATCTTAAAATATATCCCATTTCACAGGATACATTCACTAGTCCATAGGAAGAAGAGCTCTCTTGCCACCTTTTATTTATTTTTTGTAATTGCTGAGTAAAATCCCACCCAATAAAGTTAACCAACACAGGAAACAAAATTTATTCCCCTTAGCCTCTGCGGTGCTGATTTATTTGTCAAATAAACAGTGCACATTTTTTAAAGTGCCTTTTTTGACTGCCATTAAAATAATGTTTCAACAGCATTGTTTCTTTCCTATTAAGGAAGCTTTACATCATCTTTTGAAGATGACAAAATAGTGAGGTGTTGTGCAGAAGTCCCAACTCTAATCACTTCTGTTTAAATCTTTATTAGGTCACAAGTTAGAAAAGTTCAAAGGTTTTTAAACCTTCCTCCCTAATGGACATTCACCTGTCTAACCACAAATCCAATTCAAGGCTCAAAGCCCCTAGGAACAGAACCATCTGTCTGCTCATGTTCTTTGGAGGTGGTGAGTCATGTTCCTTTAGATGCTAAGCAACATTTACATCAGTGACTTCATTTTGACCAAAGGGGTCACATTCTTTTCATGGAAGGGAGCTTATCTATATCATCATGTCACCATTTGTGCTTTCTTCACACAGCCCTTACAGTGTCCCTTAGAATTCTGAAAGTTATTCCTGCAAGTAAGCATCCCATCTTCCTCCTGCTACTCACCAAGCCAGCAACTCCTCGTCCTGGACTGTCCTGTTCCCAGCACTGCTCTTGCAGCTCTTTGCTCAGAAGCCCAAAGCTGAACAGGTGGCAGCTCTGCAGCCAGCATTAACATGCACTGAAAAAGCTGCCCATTTGCCTGCATGGATACCTAGCTGCAGCTAAAAGCAATTCCTCACCTTTCATAAGCATCAGATTATCCCACAATTAAAAAAAAAAAAAAGGCACGCCTGCTTCTAAAAGAAGGGCACATAACCACATTAGAAAATGTGAGTATATACACAAAATTCTAAAGGGAGACTGCCATCCCCAAAGCCTCACAAATCCACAATGAAACATTAGAGGCAATAGAAAATGGTGCTCTAGTTTCCCCTTGCTTGTGATCTGTTTTCATTATGCCCAAGTCTCTAAGTCCTCCCAGTTACACAGGGTTAATCCAAGAATAATAAATGTGCATTCTTCCCTACCCCTTACCAAAAATGGTGGACATTGTGATCACATTGCCAGAAAACTGAATGTGTAAATGAAGAACATGTAAAAACATATGGCAGCACAGAATACTGTAAATATCTCTACACATACAGAACAGGGTTGTTTAGTTTAAAGAAGGCTGAAGTTGCATTCATACATATTTCTGGTTCAAGAATTTTATTAAAATTACAGCACTCTTTTCCAAGCTGTTGGGATTGTGCTTTTTGAAGATTTTTATAGGCCTCCAAAGCAGACGTATTTTATTTCTAAGTATTCATCAATGCCATATTTCGAACCTTCTCGACCTAAGCCAGACTGTTTTACCCCACCAAAAGGACACTCTGCTGAGGATATTATCCCTTCATTAACACCAACCATTCCAACTTCCAGCTGTTCTGCAACTCTCCAGATCTGAGCTGGATCTTGGGAGTAGAAATACCCTGCCGTGCAGAGAGATACAGGAAGGAAAATAAAAATCAGGAAGAACAATTGCATAAGATTGTGAAAAAGAGACTTGCTGGCATTAAAAATTGTCACCCTGTAACACTAAAGCTCATAAACCCACAGAAATACATTTATCTGACAGAGAGACATACCTGCTAAACCCACATCAGCTGCATTTGCTATAGCAACAGCTTCTGCTTCAGTCTCAAACCTGTCAGTATAAAGAGAAAAAATACAAATGAGGCCTGCAGTTCATCTACCATCTCAATGACTTACTGACAAGAAGCAGCCTTATCAGAAGTAAAAAAGTTAAGACGTGTTTTTTTCCAAAAGCGTATTTTAAACATCTAATTTAATTTTCACTTCAAAACAATGGAGGAGTTTCTACCACTTCTCTTAATTTAAACTGCAGTTAAGTAGTTAAGATTGCCTTTATCCTCCCTCGATACTGGTAGCTAAAACTTTTACTTCATATGGATTAGCCCACCAATTTCCCCAACCACACATGCACTCTCGACTATGAGAGATAACCGTATGTTCTTCCATCGCATCCAATTGCTCTGGATGGAGGCAGGAAAGGTTTTAAGGAGAAAAGAGAGCTCTAAGTCATCCCCCGTCAGAAAAAATTAGGACTACCAAATCACACAACAAACTGCAAAGTCCCGCCTCCTACTTCATACCACAAATCATGAAGTTGATGAAAGTTTTGTTGCTGTCTAACCTTGCTTAACTGATGGTGCAATCTAAAAGAAAGTAATTTTCAAAAAGTTGCAGAGGTTCTAAAATCGGGTCAAGAGACAGAAACAAAGAAACCACATATCCAGAGTAAGTTTTCACACGTGTACCCCAGTCTTATTATAAGACTTGTTGTGATCATACAAAAATACCTTTAGGCAAACTGTCATTCAAGTCTTACTTATTCAAAATAACCCTTCATTGGCTTTTTAATTGCTATTTTTCATCTGGAAAATGAAGTAATCTTACTTGATAACTGGTGCCAAAGGGCCAAATGTCTCCTCTTGGGTGCAAAGCATTTTTGTTGTAACATTACTAAGTAACGTTGGCTCAAAGAAATTCTTCCCCAAACTGTGTCGCTTCCCTCCAGTCACAATAGATGCTCCTTGAGAAACTGCATCATTAATGTGTCTCTCTACCTGAGGTATGCAAAACAAAAATCTCAAAGTCAGCATTTAGGAATGAACAACAGTATATTTTCCACTGAAGAAACAATACTCTCCAGTATTAAAAAGAAGATTTTGAAGAGAGGTTTATACTTTGCAGAAGACCATGTGCAGTATTATTTAAAATTTCTCTTGAATTTTTATTTCTCTCAGTCTGACATAATTTCAGAGGGATAAATTATGAGTATGGCCCTGGTCTCATTTATATTAAAGATTCAGCTTTTCTGCTGAAATGAAAAGATTACATCTAACATGAAAAAAAGTCTTTGCAGAACTAAGAAGTATGCCTGGTATCAGTGATCAAGCACTATGAAAACAGAAGTATGTGACTGTCATTTTAAAGAGAAACACAACTTTCAAGATGGTACAGGCATGAACATTTTCTACCCCCTACATCTACAATTCATCCAAAGACAAGAAAGTAATGAGAAAACTAAAGTAGCAGTCTCCAGCTAGAATACTGCCCTTTGAAATGACACGAAGACAGCTAAACAACTATATACAGTGCTTGCTTATTTGTATATATAGATGTATACGATACACACACACACTGTCTATACTTTTGCGATGCATAGAGGGAAGGCATGAAGAAATCAAAGTACTGTATCCTTTGTCTCCCAATAACTCTGAATATTTTCATATTCTATTATTTTATAAACAGAAAAAAATCTGGCAGCATTCAAGTATAATGGGATTCAAACCAAGCCTACATATAACTGGGCCATAGTATTTTAGAAAGTATGAACTGCATAATTTAATAATCTTTAACTGTAGGAAGGGTGAAATACTATAGGAATCATAGAACAGAATCATAGAATCGCTTTGGTTGGACCAACCTTTAACCTACCCCTGCCATTCCACCACTAAACCATGTCCCTAAGCACCTCATCTA